ACTGTTGAATGACAAATGATGAATATACATGTTGGATGATTGAATAATGAATGTTGAAAATTGAATATTGATTATTGAATATCTGAACTGAACATTATGTGCATGATATCAAATGGTTGATTATGAATTGAGATTCAATTTATGTGGATGTTCGACGCATTAGATATGCTTACTCAGCTTTACCGCTGAGCGTGTAGTGTGTTTTATTTGCTACACGCAGGTCTATAGAATGATGTGACGTGATCCTGGAGGCAGACGGAGGCGAGATTGTCGGAATGGATGTGATGGTTTTGAATTAAAGAATATAAATAAATTATGTTTGTGATTATGATTTGTTAAGCTTCCACAATATTGAAAACTCTGTACTGTTTGTGATATGAAAAATATTATTATGATAAATAAAAGTGTTTGAAAAGTTTTAAATTTTACGATTACCAAGTTAATACTTTAGTCCGAAAGGGGCTGCAGACCTGGACGGATTAGGGTGTTACAGAACATAAGCTTGATAATACTAGTGTCATCTCTTTTATTTAAAGACTACTTCCATTGTTATTCAAAAATTAAAATAGTGTCCTAGTATACAAAAGAAGACATATTTAGTTAGCTTTTAGGACACACAAATGGTGTCCTAGTATAGAAAAGTGGGCACATTTAAATTGTTATTAAGACACGCAAATAGTGTCATGTTATAGAAAAGAGGACATGAGTTATAAAATGTGAGGACATATTTTAGGTGTCCTCTTATGGAATTAAGGACACCTTTGGTTGAGGTTTTCATGTGTCCTTGTACAGAAAAGAGGACACAATTTATATGTCCTTATTTAAGACTTACTATGACTCCCAGATAGAGGACACTTCTTCTGAGAGTCGTTGTATATGATAGATGACACTTTTTTAGTGTCCTTAAATCCCCTTTTTCTTGTAGTGCATGTAATTTAACGATGTCTCGGAAGTAGAGATCAGCGATTTGTGAGGCGTCATGTGTGGTTAAGCATGGCACGAAATGGGCCATCTTTGAGAACCGATCTACCACGACCATGATTGAATCTTTCCCTCGTAGTGTCCTAGGCAGCCCCGTGATGAAGTCGAGGCTAATATCTTCCCATGGAGCCGTGGGGATGGGCAGGGGAAGATACTTACCTTGAGCTAAAGAATGGCTCTTGGCAGTTTGGAAAAGGTTGCACCGTTTGATGTAGTGCTCCACATCTCGTTCCATCTTTGGCCAATAGTAGTGTTCACGCATCATGATGTGGGTCTTCTCGATGCCAAAGTGCCCTGCTAGTCCTCCTCCATGTACTTCTTCGATGAGGGTTTCACGAAGACTACATTTTGGAATGCATAACTGATTTCCTCGGAACAAATAACCGTCCTTAATGAGGAATTCTCCATGGGGCCGCACAAGA